AGAAAATGCCATGCCCCATATCTTCTGTTAACTCCAAGGCCCTATCTCTTCCACATGTTAGGCCCTGGAAACTGCCTGCACCGGCTGCACCCACAGGCTCCCGAGCCTTGCAGCAAAAGTTGGCTTTGTCAGTGAGAGGCACCAAGCAAGAATCGGGGAAAGGCAAAACTCAGGGAGGCAGAGTTGGACACACATTCCCTTCCCAGCCTCAGCTCCTGGCCCAGAGTTCCTTCCATATGGGTCTCTTCTTTGGGTCCTGGCACCAGCACTCCCCCCTTGTCCCTTCAGGCCTAGAAGCAGTAATGTCTCCCTGATGACTAACCTTGATGACTCGACTACCCTTTGACCCTTGTTACTATCCCCAAGTTCAGCATTTACCCCACACATCCACCAGCTGACTGCCAACCTGGGAAGTTGCTTATCAACTTTTGGGCCACCTCCCAAGGTTTTCATGCTCTGGGTTTTTCCTTCATACTCAAACTTGTTTTATTTTTATCAATTCTACCTCTTGCTTTTCAGCATCTCTAACTTTCCCCAGGTCCCTTCCCCATAATTCCCTTCTCAACTTTATTTCCATGTATATATGAATATCCCACTGAATCCACATAGTATTGTCTGTATTCATATGGGTGTGTGGATGGCCACTGTAACCTCACAGGGGCCCCATTCCTGAAGAAAACTTTCTCTCCCCCAGCAACCACCCATCACTAGCACTCCTAAACTAAGAGTGGGCCTTGGAATTCCATCCCCCATCCACGTCCAATGAGTTTTATCTGAAAACTGTAGTACCATAGTGATTTATCCACCTCCCTTTTCTTCCAAAAATCCATATCAAGCATGAAACACTTAAGTTAACTTACTCATAAGCCTTTTCTCTGGCAGCAAATCTGAACAATATCTTTGATATATTCAGGCAATTAATTTGTCTGAGAAGCTGCTCTGATAATATAAAGCCCCCCCCCAAAGAAAAAGAAAAGAAAAGTCATATTCTGTGAACTCAGTGTAGCCCCAGCTTCTGTCCCTGTAGGTGCTAAGATAGAATCTTCCATGACATGTTCACTCAAAGCCAATGTAATATTCTAACAGCATGATCCAGCTACCAAGCAAGGGCAGGGCATGAGAGACCACCATCAGCCTAAGAAAACAGAAAGTGAAGGGTGAAGATGGTGAAAAAGAAGTCGTTGCCCTGTTGGATCCTAATATATAGTCACCCTTCGTTGTCCACAGACAACATTCATGGGTTAATTGGAAATATCTAAAAAGAGAAAGAGAGGAGTCTCCAGTCACACTGAGGAGAGGCAGCAGTTTGAGAATTGGTGTGAGACTTGCTCATGAGTGGATAGAGCAAGAACTCCAAACAGTGCAGCCTGTTGCCATTGCTCTTGGTTGCCCACCAGACTTGATGAGGCTGTACCGCTGAACACATAGCAAGAAACTTCTTCGATGTTGGCAGGCTTTTATAATATGAAAGGTTCAATGTAGGCTACTGGGGGTAAATGTTACGAACAATCTTGCAAAGCTGTGAACCCTATTAGCTATAATAACGACCAGCATGGCAAGATATACCATGGGTGAAATAATGGCATGGCTATTATGGTGGAAACCAACTCACTTCTGATTGGATTTAAGGTCTGTCCACAGGAGAAAACTTACGCCTGTCAAAAAGCCCAGGATTGGGAAGTCCATGGGCCCCAGGGGTAAACCTGATAATTCTGTTCTGCTAAATGGATGTAATAGTAAATAACTGTTTAAGACAGCAGTTCTCTGGGCTGGAGAGATGACCTGGAGGTTGAGAGCGCTGGCTGCTCTTCCAGAGGTCCTGAATTCGTAACCAGCAACCACATGGTGGTTCACAACCATCTGTAATGAGATCTGGCGCCCTCTTCTGGCCTGCAGGGATACATGCAGACAGAACACTGTATATATAACAAATAAACCTAAAAAACAAAACAACACAAAACAAAAAAAAAAACAAAAACAGCAGTTCTCAACCAGTGGGTCATGCCTGCTTTGGGATTTGAACAACCATCTCACAGTGCCCCACCACCACCTGGGCCTCCAAGTTCTGGGCCGGCCTGGTCTACAGAGTGAGTTCCAGGACAGCAAGGGCTACATAGAGAAGCCCTGTCTGGAAAGACAACAACAACAACAAAACCCCAAAAGAGAGGGGAACTAATTGGGAGTGGAGAGGTAGGGAGTAGATCTGGGAGGAGTTAGGGGCACTTGGGGTAAAATATCATTACAATATTTTGTATAAAGTCTCAAAGAATTAATAAAATATTATAATTAAAATAGGAATTTCATAGCAAAGGGGTTAAAAACACTACAGTAGTACTTATACAAAGCTTCCAGATGAGTGCTTAACAGTCTTGGTAGATACACATAAGTATGCAAATGAATGAATTTTCTTGTAATCTTTGTTTCTTCTTCCAGCCCCACCTCCCAGGCCTCTCTGGCAGCTTCTCTAGGGAGCCACACCCAAGCCCTTATCCAGGAAGTTGAACTATTGACCTCTCCCTGGTATCTTGAAGGAAAAAAAGAAGCGGGTTGGTGAGGGCAACTGTCAACACTCAGTCTCCTTTTCTCCCAGATTTCTCCAGTTCTCCAAGGTCAAACGACACACAAAGGAGAGGAGCACACGGGTCTCTCTGTGGCTCAGAGAGACCACAGCCATGCTCTATTCTTACTGTGTGTTTGATTTGTGACCCTGGGCAGGTCTGGACAGCTCTCTCTGTCTCTGCAGCTGTTTTTCCTTGAAAAGGTGGGCAAGCTACAGTCCATCTGAGATGAACTTGGCTTTTCGAAACCATGTTGACTCAAAGCCTCCTTGGCAGGTGGACATGAAAGTGTTCCACCAAAGGGGGTGTCTAGATCTTCATCAAGTGCTGCCTATGACTTAGTCTAGAAGGTTCCTCTTTGGGCTTTCTCTCCTTCCGTTTTGACTGGTCACCTGATGGTCTTCCCAGAAGGAATCCAAGTGATAAAAATGGCCTTCTGAGCTTGTGCTTTTGCCTGCTTTCTTTTCTTTTCTCTATCCCTCTCCCTCCCCCCTCTGTCTGTCTCTCTCTCTCTCTCTCTCTCTCTCTCTCTCTCTGTGTGTGTGTGTGTGTGTCTGTCTCATTGTCCTTGGCTTTTTTGTTTGGTTTTGTTAGTTTTGTTGTTGTTGTTTTTGTTTTTTTTTTTTTTTGAGACAGGGTTTTTCTCTGTAGCTTTGGAGCCTGTCCTGGAAATCACTCTGTAGCCCGGGCTAGCCTCAAACTCACAGAGATCCTCCTGCCTCTGCTTCCCAAGTGCTGGGATTAAAGGCATGCACCACCACCACCCATCTGTTTGGTAGGTTTTTGTTTTTGTTTTCTGAGACAGGAGTTCTCATAACTGCCCTGGCTACCTGGAACTTGCTCTATAGGCCAGGTTTGTTTTGAATTCAGAGATCTGCCTGTCTCAGTCTCCCAGGTGTTGGGATTAAGGGTGAGAATCATGTCACCCTGTTTGCCTGCTTCATTTTCTTTGGCACTTGACATAACACAGACAGCAGCACACTGCTACAGGCTAGTGGAAAAGCCTGGGAGAAGTAGTTTATGTTATCGTGGACTTTTGTTGTCCCATTCTACAGCTTTATTATCCAGTCACCCCAGACAGTCTCTACCATAAGTAGGAGCTGAATGGATCCTTAGAGAATGAATGAATGATTTATTTTTTTAATGTGTATGAAAGTTTCTCCTGCATGTCTGTGCACTGTTTACATGGAAGGCATATGAGGGCCATAAGAGGTTGTCAGATCCTCTGGAACTGGAGTTACCGACAGTTGTGGGCTGCCGTGTGGGTGCTGGGAGTTGAACCCCAGTCCCCTGGAAGAGCAGCCAGTGCTCTTAATCCTTGAGCCATCTTTCCAGCCCTCAAATGAAGATGTTTGTCACAAGCCAGTCTGCCTCCTACCAAGCCATTGGCCAACCATGTTCCTAAGCAGAGAAATTTGAGGAGCTGGGAGAGATGGATTAACATGTGAAGGGCTTGCCAGACTTGAGTTTGATACCTGGGACCCCCAAGGTAGAAGGAAAGAACTGGTTTCCAAATGGTATCCTCTGACTTCCACAAGCACAAATAAGTAACTGTAATGAAAGTGGGGTGCTTTTGTGGGAGTTTTGTTTGTTTTTTACAGAGGGTCTTTCTACATACCCCTCCACTTCCTGGAACTCACTAAGTAGAGGCTGGACTTGAACTCACAAAGATCTGCCAGCCTCGGCCTCCCCAGTGATGGGAGTAAAGGTGTGTGTCACCACAACACCTAGCTTTCTATTTGAGCAATTTGGGAGCTAGCCAAGGGGTCTCACACCTGTAATGTCGGCATTTGGGAATTGGAACCAGAAAATGAAGTCCCAGGCCAGACTGAGCTAGACTCTAACTCAAACTAAACTGGAACAATTTAGAGTCAACTATCTCACAGCCACTTCTACACATGCTGCCAAACAAGGAAAGTGAAGAGCAGCACTGAGATTTTTCTCTCTACACCTCAGTCTTCTTTCTCTGCACCTCAGAGAGAGATTCGCCACAGGACTCAGCCAGGACTGGAGCCTATGCCCTGAAGCTGCCCTGTTTCCTGCTTCTGTGCGACTGCTCCTGACTCACCTTGCCCCAGGTGTTCTTGGTCCTTGATTCATTTTCCCTTTCACTATAGTGTCTCACCTGCTCTAGCCCCGCCCAGCTCTAGCCCCGCCCTGCTCTGGGCTTACCCAGTCTGGGCTCCCCTGGTGGCTGGAGTCAATCTCAGCCTTGTTTTCACTTTTCCTACATCAGCTGGGGCTGCCCAGGAGGCCAAGTTAAAAGCATGGAACTGGGTTGGCAGTGTCTGGCAGCCACAGTGTCTCAGTTGGGACACAGCAACAGGCTGAGAGCCACACGGGAAGACCCAGGCCAGAGACACCGAGCAAGACCGAGGAAGCCAGGGACAGCCTCGAGGACATACCCGAATCCCCAGCTCCTCACAGACCCCAGAGAGCAGCATGAAGCCAGCTGGGGGCCGCCTGCTCCTCCTCCTGCTGCTGGCCGCGGTGCTGACGGGAACCCGCGCTGATCCTGTGCCCAGGGCGGCCAGGCTCCTACCAGATGCAAAGGACTGTCACATAGCCCGGTTCAAGTCTCTGCCCCCTCAAGAGCTGCAGGCCTTCAAGAAGGCCAAGGATGCCATAGAAGAGAGGTTGCTCCACAAGGATGTCAGGTGCAGCTCCCGCCTCTTCCCGAGGGCCTGGTACCTGAAGCAGCTGCAGGTCCAGGAGCGCCCCAAGGCCTTGCAGGCTGAGCTGAAGCTGACACTGAAGGTCCTGGAGAACATGACTGACTCGACCCTGGGCCCCATCCTGGGCCAGCCTCTTCACACCCTGGGCTATATCCACTCACATCTGCAGGCATGTACTCAGCCTCAGCCTGCAGCAGAGCCCAGGCCCCCAAGCCGCCGCCTCTCCCGCTGGCTGCACAGGCTCCAAGAGGCCCAGGAGAAGGAGAGCCCCAGCTGCCTGGAAGTCTCTGTCACTTCCAACCTCTTCCGCCTGCTCATCCAGGACCTGAAGTGTGTGGCCAGTGGAGACCAATGTTCCTGACCTTGAACTTTCCTGCCAGCTGTTGGAATTCTGCTGTGTGTCGACTCACCAAGCCCCTGCCTTAATTTATAGGCACTCATGTATTTTTTAAAGTATTTATTTGTGTGTGGGGGGGGGCTTCTTTAGACTCAGACCCCACAAATGTCTATTTTTCTACTTCTGTAAACATTCTCCAAATACGGAGGGAGAAAAGAAAAGAGATAAAGAGAGGGAATAAAGTAGGAAAAAAATTACTGGTTGTCTTCTTGCCCAACCTGCACCCTTTCTCCTAAGACCTCGTTAGTCAGAAGGCCCGGGTTCTCTAACAGTTGGTTATTTCTATCTCGTTGATCCTAGTCCACCCAATAAAGCAACTCATGCTCACATCTCCAAGACTGACCTAGGAATGTAGCTGGAGTTTCTTTCCAACCTGGTCCCACAACCCTTCTGGCCCAAATAAACACACAGAGACTTATAATAATTTATAAACTGTTTGGCTGATGGTTTAGGCTTCTTATTGGCTAGCTCTCTCTTAATTATTAACCCATAACTACTAATCTATGTATTTCTATATGCCCTTATCTTACCAGAGAATGCCCAGTGCATCCTATCTTCCCAGTCTCTACATGGCATCTCTCCCTGGCTTCTCTCGCCTCCCTCTCCCCACCATTCTCCTCATCTGGTAGCCCCACCTATACTTCCTGCCTGGCTACTGGCCAATCAGTGTTTTATTCATCAAAGAGAATACATATATACCGAAAGACATCCCCCAAAATAGTAATCTTAGAGAGAAACTGTGAGCTGATTGAAGGAAGGTGGGATACAGCGGGCTGAAGGTTATTGGCAATTGTCCAGTTTTCAAAGCAAGAATGTATTTTTACGAGGACTACCGATCGGTAGCCACAGCCTGAAAGCACTAGACAGAATACAACCTCTCAGACTCTGAACACACTCCCTTAAGTTCCCTTTCTAAATCAGTCCAGCCAATTATAATTGATCCCCTAAATCTCCCATAGTGCTTTGTTGGGAAGAAATTTCATTGTAGTATTAGAACGAAAGGCAATCAGACTCCTATAAAGGTAAAGACACAGAAGCTCTCCCCTGGAATGCTGTGTATCGTAAGATTCGTGTGTAATGTAGAAAGACTCTTCGCAGAATAAGCTATTATCCTAAAACCTCTACTTGGTGAAATTTGTAAGAAGTCAACTTTTATGGCCGACAGTCTACACTCAAGTATGAAATCTATTAACTGATTTGAACCAAATCAACTGGAAAATATTTTTAAAAGGGAAGAAAAACATAGAGTGACTTTTCCAAATAGCAAGAATGTCATTAAATGGAAACACTGGCGAAAGCTAGGGAAAATGGTCTGCCAGGTGGCTATCCAGACGCTAGCAGTGACAGACATGAACTTGGTAGGAATGCCCAGAGTGGAGATCTTAAGGCGGACTGTCTACAGCTGTTGCAACTGGGTTTTGTTTTATGTGGTACAGATTATATACTACTGCATGGTTGAGATCACAGTGTGCCCTTACCTTAGCTACCCCAAATTATATGAATCAATGACTTTGAAGACCATGTCTTCTTGCCCTGAGAGATTCCATTTTCTGTGCAGTTTTTGACTGTATTTTGAAGACAGGAGATTCTGCATCTAGGTAGACCTGTGGACAGCATTACCCATGAAACACCGAGTAACAAATGGCTTATCTTCAATAGTAAAGGTGCCACTTGGGAATTTATCAGAGTGATCTGGGACTGTACAGACATGTGGGTGTTCAAGGAAAACCATGCCTGGGAATGTATCACACACCAGACCAAGGAAGAGATGTAACTCAGTGACCTGAACCCCATTAAAAATGCTAACACCTAACACTATAGTGAAAACCATTCTACCATGTGACCACCTGGCATGTGCATCAAAGAACTGGAGGATCACAAAGACTTGAGCAGGACTTAGTCAGCTCTGCCCTACTTGAATTGTTACCTGACCATCGTGTTTGCCCATCTGGGCCTGCCATTTATGCAGCAGCCCAGTGTTGTGCCTGGTCCTGGTCCTACCCCTTTGCTTCTGTATCTGGACTCAGCTCTGCAGCTCTGCTCCAACCTTTGACCAATCTCCAGAGAACCCCTTCTAGTTTACTATACTACAACACACACACACACACACACACACACACACACACACACACCACACACACTCTCACATTTCTATCCATTCCCCAGCTCTACTTCTCTGGCCTCTTTAACCCTTTGTAGTCACTCTGTAACCTACATACACACATACATATAGATATGGCTACCATGTACTATATGACCCGAGAGTTAATATTATTTATTAAAATTGGAATAAAAGAACCCAGTTTTGCTTCAGCCAGAGCTGGGGAAAGTAGGAATATCTGGCAAATTGGCGCCAATGAAACTACCATACCTCATGAATTTGTTGTTATCCAATAAATTCTGGCACTGGAAAGACACAAATGCCTCGTTTCTGATATAGCATACTCATGACATATAATGCGGCGATCTCAACCTCCTTCTGAGACTGTGGGTAGGTTGGTGACTAAGTCACCCAATACCTGTCCCTGACGTGGTGCTAAAGCTGAACTGAAAAAGATCATATAGCCTCCTCCTGTTCATTGGGATGTTTACTCAGGGGAAGCCAGTTGCCCTCTAAGAAATCTGATGGCTCTAAGGCTGAGCCGTTTGGAAGTCACATGAGCACTTTTGGCAACAGCCAGCACCACCTGACAGTCATGGATAAGCCATCTTTCATGTCCATTCCATTCTGACCCGTAGGTGACTGTAGCCCCTACAGACTCCAGGATTCAAGCACAGGACAGATGGCTAGTGAAGCTTGCCCAGTCCATCACTTCCTGGCTTCCAGCCCTGGGTTTGCTTTATATCAATATTCGATAGAACAAGGATTGATTCATTAATCTACTGGAAATCAAAGTAAGGTTTCACAAGACATAACAATCTGCAGACTCCAATAAGCAGACATAGAAAGATAACACTTGGTAGGACCAAAAAGATGGTTCAGCAGTTAATAGAACATTCTGCTTCTACAAAGGATCTGGATTCAGTTTCTGGGTCCCTGAACACACATGGTGCACATAAATACACACACACACACACACACACACACACACACACAATACTAATTAATTCTTATTGTTAATTTGACACAACCTAGAATCAACTGGAAAAAGGGAACCTCAGTTGAGGAGTTGCCTTGATCAGACTGGCCTGTGGCCATGCTTGTGAGGCACTGCCTTGATGCCAATTGATTTGGAAGGGCCCAGCCCATTGTGAGTAGCACCATCCTTAGGCAGCTGGCCTATATAAGAAAGGTAGCTGAACAAGGCAGAGAGCAAGCCAAAAAGCAACCTCCCTGTATGGGTTCTGCTCTAAGCTCCTGCCTTGAGTTTGCTCTAACTTCCCTCAGTGATGGACTGCTGCCTAGAAGTGTAAGGTGAAATAAACCCTTTTTCTTCATAAAACTGCTTTTGGTCATAGCAAAAATGAAACAAAACAAACAACAACAAAAAAAAACACAAAAAATAAAAACCTAGGACACACATACATATAACATTAAAAATAATAAATAAATACTAGGGACTTGTTGGCAGGTTCTAACAAACTGGAAAGTTTTATCTTCCAAAGCTACAAAAACAGTCTGCCCCCAGACCCTCAAGTAAAAGTGAACTAAGTTACCCCTTAATTCAGGAATTCATTTTCTTCCATGGTATTTGCCCAGCAGTCCCACCATGCTATTGTCTCAAAAACAGAGATGTGGATGTAACAAGGGGAATTCTTGTGTTTAAAATATATTTTCGCAGTCTTGATTCCAAGCTGAGCTGGATCCTCCTTGACTGTGCCTCCCCATAGTCTTTTTCACTAAGGATGATTTTACTCTCGAAGGTTCCACTGGCTGTGAATCAGATTCTGTTGTGACTCAGGTGGTGTGTGGGCAGCAGCCACCGCCTTTCTACAGGGCTAAGTTACGGCAAGGGAAACATCCCTACGGATTCTGAAAAACACACAGTGCTGGTTATAAAACATCCGAGGTACAGTCTGCAGGCAGCCCTGGAACCAACAGGACTGAGGACCAGCCAGGGGCCCCTAGAACAAAGGCCTGTGCTCATCAAAGATGTCTGGCAACAGGCTAAACAGCAAGGAGAGACCTCAGAAATATGAGGGGTTAGATGTGAGCTGGAGAACAGGAAGGGTGGCAGAAAGTCAAGGAGTCTCTCCTTCCTCCTCTCTCTCCCTCCATCCTCACTTTTCTTCCTCAGAGGGAATTGTGTGTCCACACAGAAAATGGTCTCAGGGTATAACAGAAGATCAAGGTGTGCAGTGACAGCTACAGCTTTTCATGACCTTGCTTCTGTGACCACTTCGTCTATCACATAGCACCTAAATGATCCCCAGTGAATCAGGCTAACCAAATCTTAGCTCTGAGTAGACACTCTACAAAACTACAACCCACAAACCTTTTGGTGTCTTCCTGATCTTCCTTCCTGAACCCTACACCACCCCCCAAGAGCACTACCCAGGGACCCAGTTTATCAGCCCCACTCTGGCAAGTGAAGTATGATGTCCTAGGTAAAGGACAGTTTTAATGGGACTTTTCCAACCCATCCTCCAGTCTTCTACACTCCAGAGCCAAAGGACTCTCAGTCTATAATGAATGTTAACTGACAGTGATGACTGTGGGGAGCTAATCTGGACTTGAGAGATGGTTCCATGGTTAAGAGCACTAATTGTTCTTATAGGGAACCTGAGTTCAGTTTCCACCACCCACATGGTGGCTTACAATCATCTAACTCTATGAACCATAGGTTCGCATGTGGTACACATACATACACGCAGGAGAAGCCACTCATACACATGAAATAAATACTTTAAAGTATTTTTTTAAAGAATTACTCTACTTCCAAAACTCATGCCTTGATTTTCTTTGCAGGAGTTAATTCATGGAAATGCTGTGGTGTGGCAGTGATTTTCATCAAGACAGTAAT